GTAGAACTTGAGAACTCTTGAGTTTTTTTTAATAAGAGTTTCATGTAAAACCTTTGTGAAGTCTTGGAAATTGGAACCATCATGATATCTTTGAATGCCATTTGAATATTTTGTACAAGTTAAAATTCTACATGAACCTTCTCTTGAATGGTGTTTTGAATGAAACAATTGATTTGGATGAATGACAATACTTGACTCTCTTGATCAATCTTTGAATTAGACCATGAGAATTGTTTGGAATTTTGTCATGATAATGAATCAAGTTGAATAGGAACTTGAATGAAATTATTTGGAATACTTGATTCCATGGACTTATAATCAAATTGAATCAACAAATGTCCATGTGTACCGTTTTTGAATCTTGACAAAATCATACACAAAACCCAAATTAGGAAGGAGGAGATAGATGAAACTTCACCTTGTAGCCTAACGAATCGCTAACTTTAATTCTCCAAATTCAAGTTAACTTGTAATTGAAGTAAACAAGTATTTGATAAGAACCAAAATTATATCGACCAAAATGAAATGCAACTTGTACTTCAACCCACCACAACCAACAATGCCCTCATGAATTGAAATTATAAGCTAAACTTTTTTTAAGTCAAGAATTGACCTATAACGTTTCGATAAATTTCAAAACCTTCTAAGCACAATTTGACTTCGATCTTTAAAGAAAACTTATAGATGACATCCTTGTGAAAAAATAATTGTATCAAGATCTTGAAAATTGAGGAAATTATAATTCTTGGAAGTCAGGCAACAGTACTTGAAATTAGGTCAAAGTCCATAAAGCTACCTCTAAGGTATTCGAATTTTTGATGATCTTTAGCACATAATCGGCTCTTGAATTGTAAAGAGAAATTGGGGATAACGTCAAGGAGAGTCATACGCAAAAAGAACCACTAAAAAATATTGAATAATGAAGAAGTTACAATTGTTTGAACTTGATCTTGAAAATGTTGACTTTTTGGTCAATATAGTTGATTTTCGATCATCCGAGCAATCGACTGAGCGAACTTGTGATGTAAGGCATGAGATTTGATATGAGCATTCTTGAATACATATGAAGAACCATGAAAGCCACACGAGACCTTATAAACCCAATCTTGCTTGAGAAATACTAAACCCTAATTGTGGACCCAATGCTTAGAAGGAGAATTTGTCTGATCAATTCTTGAGCCACCTTGAGCATTTGAGAAACCCTAGGAGAATATCTTGAATGAAAAATGGGAAGAAAATTTTGGTGTAAAACATCAATATATATGCTTCTAATGACTTCATGTATTAATTCTTTCATATTTGTATAAGTTTGTTCTTGTGGTGCAAGCATGTGTTATTTTTATTATTCTTTACTTATTTCTTACATTCGTGCTTGAGCTAATTGTATGTGTGTTATTTGCATTATGGTTTTCTTGTTGTTGTTGGTTGCATGGTATGACAAACATCTTCATTTTGGTTTTAGTAGCGACATGTTCTTGTTGATTAGCTAGGCACATGTGTGTGCGACATCGGGAGTTCCATTATATTGTGTTACGTAATTGTGACGTTATAAAAGAAACTTGACATATTTGCTCTTTCACTGCTTGTTTAATCTGTATACATTTATATTACATGTGTTGTAATTTTGTTTGTCGGTTATTTATTAATTTTGCATCATTACATATACATGGGGATATGTGATTATTGCTCTTCTATGCAAAAAAGCCTATGAGTGATATATTAGTATTTGTATTAGAATATGATACTTCACACGGTTTTCTATCTTTCTTTTTGATGTTGTCAAAGGGGGAGAAGCATATGCGAGACAAAGTTGGGAAACATAAAGTCATAGAGAGCCTTTGATAACCACATGAAATGTATTGTCGCAAGTTTTTCCATCATCAAAAAGAGGGAGTATGTTAGTACAACTACATCATTAGATGTTTTATATGATGTCAAATCTAGGAAAAGTTAGCATTTCTATATATTGGATGGTATCTCTTAGTCTTGTGGCACTCCTTTGCATTAGGTGTCTTAGGAACCATTAAAAACCACTTTCAAAGTGATCTAAATCTTTAAAAACAAGTTTTTGCATAAATTTTCATTGCATGTGTCGACACATACGAATTTCACGTAAATACATGGCACTCGGTTTTGAAGCTTGTAGCCTCTAGAAGGCTCAGGTCAACACATGCATCATACAAGTCGACACATACTGAATCTTTTCTGAAATTGTAGATAAACTTATTTTATGTGTCGGCACATGTAAATTTCAGGCCGGCACATTTACTGTCATTTTAAAGCTTATAGCTTTAACTTGTTTCGATCGACACATGCATCTGTTCAGGTCGACACATAAAGCAGAAACTTAATGTATGTGTCGACACATGCGATTTTCAGGTCGACATATACTGATTGATTTGGTCAATTTTTCAAATCTTTTTAATTATGAAAATCTTCTTTTTGACCTAAACTTCCATAACTATAAATACATCATTCATGCATCATTCCAACTCAATGATACCATAAAAATTTCCTGTAATTCCTCTTCACCTCCAACCTATGCATACACACTAACAAATCATTGTAACTATCTTTTATTGGGGTACCATCTAGATGAGGTTCAATAACGTCCAATTAGGTTCTTGTGTAGTTGAGAATATTGGGTTAAGATTTATAGGGGTCTTCATACGGAAAAGCTGTCGGTTTGTTCTCTAAGATTATTGATTTGGGGGATTTTCGTGCAAGACATTCAAAAGAGGATTGCATCCAAGTGAATCCCTTTGGAGATAAAGAATGCAAATGATCATTTGGAGATAAAGAATGCAAAGAAATTAGCAAGATAAAGACGAATCAAATTGAAGTCTTGTGTTGCATTAGTTGAAATTAGTGGTGTGTGAAAACTTTGGAGATAAAGTATGCAAAGGAGTAGCAAGATCTAGATAACCAATTGGCAGCCATTGTGTCTTGGTCTTTCTCAAGATTAAAGGAAGAAAAGGGGTTTAATCCACAACAAATGTTAAGGTTTGGGGATTTGCTCTTGGAACACTTCTCTTGTATTAAACTTTTTTCATAATAAGAATTATCCTAATTCGATTGAAATTAGGCGCAAACGTACCCACACACAAGGACGAAAGTGGGGAATTATGAAGAAAAATCCGCGTGTCTCTTTTTCATATTGTTTTACTTGCTTTATTTTCATCAATCAATTTGTCTAATAGCTTTGCATAATCGATTGACTCGTAGGAATTTTTCCGAACTGTTTTTGTTTTGAATTTAGTGTTGATATTTCTTATAATCACTTTTGATTATAAGTTCTTTTTATATCAACACAACTCAGAGGAAAACTTTGAAAATTCAATTGCACACCAAGTGTTTGACAAATTGATTGTTAGTTATTTTGATATTTGCCATTGGAAATAATGTTGCTGGTAACTTGCTATAAATGGTTGATACTTTGTTACTTGATTGAAGTTCAATTAATTTAGATTATTGTATTCATTCCATACTCTATTTTATATTTACATATCTGAGTTCCAATAACAACGGTTCGTATAGGCAACACATTTTAAAAACCTTCCGCGTGCACTCTTTTCTAATCAAAATTTTCAAACTAGATTTTTATCTTAAACTTTGGCTTGGTGATCTATTCACCCCCCCCCCCCCCCCCTCTAGATAAGGCGTCATCGATTAATATTATATGTGTTTAATTAATATGAATGAAAGTCCTATGAAAATAGGCATTGGTTGGTCGTATGTGCAATTTAATTTAACTCTGAAGGAACTTAGGGTTTATGATTTTGATCAAAATTCGTGAGCTACGGTTAATGTTAATTCATGATATGTACATTTTTGAAATCCTCATAAAATTCTGAATAAGTTTGATTTTTATACTTTTGAAATTGGTTGAGAAATGAGGAAATTTGAAAATTCACCATTGTTATTGTCAAAACAAGATTTGGATATTTATTTAAACCTTTGTGTTTTGATGATAACAATGCATATATTTTATGAAGAATAATTTTAGTTATAACTAGTGGAATATCCGTGCATCCACACGGTACATCTGTGGACTACAAATTGTCATTTGTTTGTCATAGAAATTCAAACAAATTAGAAAATATCAAAATATTATTGAAAACAATAAAAAAATAATAAAAGATAAGCTGGAAGATAATTGTATAGTTTTTAAAAACAACTATCTATTTCAATTAACTTTTGAGCTTACTTTTAAGAGCACATTAGTCTATTTGATCTACTCCTTGCACCATATAGTTTTGATATTTAATGTCGTTGATGTGTCAACACAATAGATTTTCCTATTATTTTTTATTTTTCTTTATCACTAATGACTAATTATTTAATCACTAATCTCATATTATAATTTATTTTTCAAAAACCTAATTACAGCGCGGTTTTATTGTTTGTGTACAATTAAGGCTATCTTGCAAACGAGGAGGCAGCATTCAACAACTCTTGCAATTCCAATGAAGCAGTAAAGATAGCAGTTATCAACACCACAACTCCCAACAATAGATAAACCCATCCTTTCAGCTTTCGTTTCCTTCCGACTCAACCATAAATATCCTCCACTGTATTTCTTCAAAACTCAATCTATCCTTTCTCCAATCTTCAAGTGTTTGTAATACTCATGTAGTCAACACTAATCCATGTCATTTTTTGATTATCTCTTTCAGAGTATTATATCTACGCATTCATCATTTTTTAAGTTCTTAGTCAAGTGTTCGATTATCAGATCTGGAAAGGAAAAATGAATCGTGACACGGTACCATCATTGCCATGGAACTCTGACGCATCCAATCGCACCACTTCGATCCCAGTCGCGAAAATCGCTTTTGACAGATCTTCTTCCAGTACAACCAAGCCCCCGATTTGAGATATTTGATCTGATAGGTATTCTTAGGTTTAATGTTTGATTTACTTTGTTTATATTTTTGTTTTTAATCTTTGTCCAATTTGTTGTTCGTTTTGAATCATGGTATGGGTTTCTTTTTATTTCCATGCTGCTTTGGAAGCTTTTTGATGATAAACATGACTGGTTTAAGGATATTAATGTGTTAGATGAAGTTGTTGAGGACATAGACAATCCACTTTCTCTGTTGAAAGACAGATTTGTGTTAGAACCACTTGGGAGTTGTGAACGTCATGTTTTGCTTTGGTGGCTCTGGGTTGAAGCTTGCATATACATCAAATTTCCACCTCAGTGAGTCCTCTCTTAATTTATTATTTAGTTCTTAATTATGTTTGGTTATTATAAAATAATCATTGAATCAGATTATGAAAAAAAATATTGTCCAGCTTTTTGTGATTCTTTATTATTATGAATATTGATTTTATATATCAAAATTTGTTTGGTGAAATTTTGAGTCATTAACAATTTAGATTCTAAGACACATTCACGAGATTTAAATTTCAATGGTAGTGTGGTAAATCAGAAGGATATAATATTTTATTGATGTTTATGTGGTTAACAATAGTATGAACCCATCCTCTTGCTTGCATAGGTAAACTCAAGCACTATGTTAAATTAGATTCATACCCCAATGATGAAAATGTCCCAGTTTATGTGTCTAGTGTCTTTTTAGTTGTGTGTTTGTAAACTTGAATTTTGATGATTTTGATTTGACTTAAAAGTAAATTTGAACTGTTTGGTTGTCTGTTTGATTATTATTATTATTATTATTATTATTGCATGTGTTTCTACTCTCAAGTATTTGATGAGAAACTCTTATTCTTACAATGTTGTGTTTGTTGTGTTTGAGTTTAAATGCAAAGAAATTTGTAAGCATGTTTGGAGAGTTAATATTTTCATCAAGGTATGTTTCAAATTAAATCATGTTCGTTTTTGCTTCAGATTAAATCGCATTCGTTTTTACTTCAAATACAATTGTGTTTTTGTTTTTGTTTCTAGGCCGTTTAAAAGGTTTTCACTTTGAATTGTATTTTCGTTTTAACATATCAAGTACCTATGAAAATAGAAATGGTGGTTATCAAAAATAAACTGAGATGTGTGAAAATAATTTTAAAATATAAGCAATATCTAAAGAAAAAACCTTTTCTTTAGTGACGTTGAGAACTATTTCTTTAACCAAACTAGGATTTGTTATGCCATATTCCTGCAGTATATTAAGGCTTATGTAATCAATGCCATATTCCTACATGTGATAAATTTGGTGGGTTGAATGTCATCAATGTTGAGTTTAAGAGTGTTGCAATAATCTTCGGCTGAGTTAATTTATTGCAGCAAGATTTGTTTGAATATTTCATCACAGAAACAACGTTCATCAAGATCACTCACACTTTGATATTTTTTTTTAATTTAAATAATTATTTTTTTTGTCATTCTTATGGTATCTAATTGATTAAACATCTGTTTGAAATCACGGTGGGATAAAAAGAAAAAGCGCATCTGCTCCGTCACTGCATCTATTACCTAAAAAAATCAAATATACTTCTGATTTTAAGTTTTAATTTTTTGGATTTTAAGGATAAAAATGACTTATTATTACATTGCATCAATCATATGTATTTGTCATTAAATATGTTTATTACTAATTTGTTTTTCTATTATTTAACTTTTTTTAATTAAAATTCCAAATTCTTACTTGTAATAAAATATATTTTGTTATTATTTAGACTTATAAATTACTAATACAAAACAAAATCTTTACAAAAAAATGATAAATGATAATCACGAAAAAAAATAATGGTACATGATAAAAATTTATACAATCATTTTTATAATTATGAATAAATTACAAATAATTTTAATAAATTCAAATATTAATACAATTTTTTAATATGAATAAATTAAATATTTTAATAAATTGTTACACGGGTTCAAGACACTTATAAATGGAAAAAAAATTATATATTGATATAATTATTTTTACAAACGAAAATAAGTTACAATAATTTTTATAAACGGAAATAAATTATAAATATTTTTATAAATGCGAAAAACTAAACTATTGATACAATTATTTTTATAAACGGGAATAAGTTTCAAATATTTTTTATAAATAGACACACGGGTTCGAGACGCTTATAAACGGGAAAGAGTCTACCTATTGAAACAATTATTTTTATAAACGGGGATAAGTTACTATTATTTTTATAAAATAGAAATTCAAATTTGATAAATAATTATATATTGTAATTATATGAATGTTAACCAACTCAATACTGTTAAATTGTAATTCACATTGTCGAAAAGATTAGATTTGTTTAGATTTAAATAAATTTAATTTAAGTCTAGAATAAATTAGATTTGATTTAGTAACAAAATAGATATTTTGGGCTTTAGACTTAGGGTGCAAGCTCAGTTATAAATAGAGGGAGTAACCCTTATTTTTTGTAATCAAATCAATTAAGTTGTATTCACAAATTTGTAGTTGCAAGTGAATAATAAAATTTTCCACAGTTTGTGGGCAGAGAAGAACTCTACAGAAAATTCATTGTCTTCTTTCTTTTCTTATTTTTCTCATAATTAAATTGTCATTGTGGTAGAAATTTATCATAGACTTTGGTGAGTTTCCATTATCTGATATAAGAGCTTTGTTTCGATTCGAGGGAAGTGTCAATCAAGAACGATTGAAGAATTCACGATGGCAAATTATGTGAATGCAAATTATCCAGCAACTCTACCAATTCTAAAAAAAGACAACTATGAGAATCGGTGTAAACAGATGAAAGTCTTATTCAGGTGTCAAGGTCTTTGGGACCTTGTAAAAGATGGAGTCAAAGTGCTTGAAGAAAACGCTTCAGAAGAAGAAAAGAAGAAACACATCGAAATTGAGAAACTGAGTTATAAATCGCTCTTTATAATTCATCAATGTCTGAGTCCAGAAAACATTAAAAAAGTGAGTGATTCAGAATTTGCAAAAGAAGCTTGGGACGTTCTTGAGAAGTCCTTTGGAGGTGCAGGAAAGGTAAAAGAAGTAAGGTTACAAACTCACAAGAGAACCTATAAATTGCTTCAGATGGAAGATAGTGAGAGCATATCAAATTTCTTCACTAGAGTTACAAGACTAGTGAATCAAATCAAGGCATGTGGAGAAATATTAACAACAAGAGATGTTGTTTTGAAGATCTTGAGATCTTTAGCTCCTAAGTTCGACCACATGGTGGTGGCGATAGAAGAGGGGAAAGACTTATCGAAATTGACATAGGAAGAGCTTCAAGGGACGCTTGAATCTTATGAACAAAGAATGAATAAAAGAGCTGCAGGTAAGTCGAAGAGTGATGTGGCTTTGCAGGCACATTCTGCAAAAGAAACCAAAGACAAAGGAAAGTGTTTCGACAGAGGTAGAGGTGGATACAACAAATCGAATGGTAGAGGAAACCAGATCAAAGGAAATATGTCGAATCAAAGAAGACTATACCAAGGCAACCAAAGAGGTGGTGTTGCAAATAGAGGAAGAGATGGTGGTCGAAAACCTGATAAGAGTCACATTCAATGTTACAATTGTCATAAGTATGGTCATTATTCAAGTGATTATCCAGAAAAATGAAAGAATCAAGAAAGTGATGCAAAGCTTGCAAAACATGATGAAGAAGAGATGATGTTGATGGTCACAACAAAAGATGAAGATAGATTTAAGGACCAATGGTACTTAGATTCAGGATGTTCGTCACATATGTTTGGAAGAAAAGACTGGTTTGTCAACATAAAGCCCTCAACAAAAAATATGGTAAAGTTTGAAAATGACAATACCCTAGCAGCTGAAGGTATTGGTGATGTAATGATTATGAGGAAAGATGGTAAAAGGTCAGTAATCTCCAATGTGTTGTACATACCAAACATGAAGAGCAATTTGCTCAGTATAGGGCAGTTGGTCGAAAAGAATTATAAAGTGTCAATCAAAGATAAGATGATGAGAGTCATTGATGCAAATGGGAGATTAATCTTGAAGGATCCTATGTCTCAGAATCGAACCTTCAAGATTGAACTAAATGTGATGGAGCACAAGTTCCTTTCGACTGCAGCTAGCAGAGATGAATGGATATGGCATTATAGACTAGGTCATCTCAACTTCAAAGACATCAAAGACTTGAAGAGAAAAAATATGGTTTCAGGATTGCCTGAAATTAACATTCCAAACGAAGTATGCGAGGAATGTGTGCAGGTGAAGAAACACAAGAATAGCTTCAGCAAGGATGCAGGAAGCAGGTTGAAGGTTAGTCTTGAAGTCATATACTCTAATGTATATGGACCAATCCAGGTGGATTCGATGAGAGGTAACAAATACTTTGTTACATTCATAGATAATTTCAGTCGAAAGTTGTGGACTTATCTGATCAAGAACAAAAGTGAAGTGATCGAAGTATTTGCCAAGTTTAAGTCTATGGTCGAAAGACAAAGTGGTCGAAAACTCAAAGTTTTGAGAACTGATGGTGGTGGAGAATATGTGTCGAAAAACTTCGACAGACTATGTGAAAAGGAATGGATTATGCATGAGGTGGTGCCACCCTATACTCCACAACAAAATAGAATTGCAGAAAGGAAAAATCGAACCATCATGAATATGGTACGAAGTATGTTGAAAGGCAAGAATTTACCTAAAGAGTTTTAGGGTGAAGTTGTTTCGACTGCAACATACATTTTGAACAGGTGTCCTACAAAGAAGCTAGAGGAATTACTCCAGAAGAATGTTGGTCTGATGTGAAGCCTAGTTTGAGTCATCTGAAGGTATTTGGATCTATTGCACATAGACATGTGCCAGATCAGTTGAGAAGAAAACTTGATGACAAGTCAAGTCAAATGATTCTAGTTGGATATCATTCGACAGGAGGCTACAAGTTGTTCGATCCAGTGAAAAGGCAAATTGTGATCAACAGGGACGTGATCATAGATGAGTTTAAAGAATGGGATTGGACTAAAAATGCTAAGAAAGATTCAGTGGGAATCCTATTCGAAGAACCAGAAACTCAAATTGAAAGAGAAGAGGAACCAACAGATATACCAAGTACACGCAGACCTTAAAGAACAAGACGCATGTCTGCAAGATTGCAAGATTGTGTGATTACATCAGATAATGTGATAGATAATGAAGGTGAGCTGGTACATTATGGTTTCTATGCAGATGTCGAACCTGTTAATGCAGCTGAAGCATTGAAGGATTTGAAGTGGGTGAAAGCAATGAACGAAGAAGTGAAGTCTATCGAAGACAACAACACTTGGTTACTTGTCGAATTGCCTCAAGGC